TCATTTTTTTTGTTGTCATACCCATACCCACAAAAATATACCTTACGGGCTTTTTGTCAAACTTGCTGCTAAACGGTCAGGCACAAAGACATAACACACATAATCGAAATTGTGAAATAGCTTATTATTGGTTTGATATTCCACAGATTTTGAAAGGGTAACATAAACTCCAGTTTCAGTTGTGGTAGCCGATTGATCATGTGCACCGTAGTCTTCATACAGTTGGAACAAAAATATCCTAGTACATTCTTGGCATGAAGTATGCTTCGGCATATTTTCGCCAAATGAAGATTCTTCCTTTCAGTAACCCCATTTTGTTGCGGAGTATTTGCCCACATTAGCTGTCAGTGAATCTTGTGCTGCTTCAGATAGTCGTAGAACTCCTTTGATGTATACTCTCCCCCATTGTCTGTGTAGATAATGAATCTTCTTGTTAAGCTCTCTTTCGACTTCTTCTTGAAATTGTTTGAATTTGGAGAAATAAACCCAGATATATATGGAGTAGTCATCGATAAAATTGATCATGTATAGTCACTTATCGATTTTTGCTTCACTCGGCTGAATACATCTCATTGCATGAGCTACAAAAGTTCCTTTGCTTTGAATTGTCTCTTAGAATGGTAATTGATACGCCTTACCATATTGACAACATTTGCACACGATCCCTTCTCGAATATCCAAGTGTGGAAGACCCTTTCAACATTTACTTTTCTATCATGATCTTGAGCTTGTGACAGCCCACATGGCCAAGCCGAGCATGCCACAAATCAGTCTTCTCATTCTTCAAGCTTTATCTATGCATGTCAATTCTGCCGATATTACATAAATAGATTCAACTATTTGTCCCACCATGACAAGTTCTCCTGGTGGCTTCAAGTTTTGATAGACTTTTACATCTTGTGGCTCAAATATTACATAGTTTCGAAAGCTGGCAATTGGAAAATAGATTAAAAATTCTTTTTCGTACCTGGTACATGGTATACATCTTGTAGTTGTATCTGATTCGGATTGTAGCGCGGCGTAAACATAGTTTTTTCGATGTGTGTGATAGACAATCTTGAATTATTCACTATCACAATTACTCGGTCGCCTTTATACTTCTTCATGTTGACAAGCTTGACCTTATCTCATAGAGGAAGGCGATATGAGATGTCTCAAGTTCATCATGCTCGTACCAAGCATATCAATGTCAGATATCATTTTATGCAGGATGTCATAGAGGAAGGTGATATTTCTCTCATGAAGGTGCATGCGAATGAGAATCCCGCGGACATGTTAACCAAGGTGGTCATATATAGCAAGTTTAAGCATTGTTTGGACTTGCTTCATATCAACCCGTGTTGAACTGCCCAAGAGGGCATGACCTTTCGAGGCGGTGATGGGGTGAGGTGAAGACTATATGGAAAACAATTTCTAAACTACGGTTAGCTTGATCCTGGTCAGAGGGTACGTCGGAAGTCATGGTATAATGGTGCATCTAGTTTTAGCCTGGTTTGGCGTTTCAGATCTCTTTGGTGATGTTCGCGGTGTTCTTCTGGTGTTCGTTCAAAATTTAAGGATTATAAAATGATGTACGAGGTGGAGAATTGTGAGTGGCGCGAGATAGAAGCACCGAGATAGTGGGCCGGGCTACGTGACACCCTTAATACAAGCACATGTGCAGGAGCGTGCTGAGACAGTCTCGTGCCCACCCAAGCCGAGACACCTAGCAGTGGGTTGGAATTTTTTCCAGACCCGATTTCAGGCCTGTTCCTATAAATAGGAGCTTGTGTTCCTAGGATTTTGAGGTGAAAATAGGAAGGTTTTTGGCGGCTATTAAAAGGAGAGTTTTTTAGATCTAGATCTGAGATCTTGAGGAGAGAAAAGAGAGAGCTTGGAGGGATTTTACAAGAGAGAGATTAATTTTTTTGGGTAAAAATCATAGCTTCTTCTTTGGGACGATCTTGTGGGTTGTATAAGTCGTCGGTGTTCTCCTTCATAGTGGAATCTCTCCTCCCCCTTCCCCGTGAACGTAGGCAAGTTTACCGAACCACGTAAATCATGTGTCTTTACTGTTTTTTGGGTGTTGGCTATTGCTTGTAGGTTCTCTCGACAAGTCAGTCCTAGAACTGATGAGAGAAAGAATGTATATTTTATTTTGTTGAGATATTTCACTTTCTGTTCTTGTTTCCTTTATGAAATGGGAATATAGAGGTTGACTTGAACTTTTGTGATAACAAAAGCTAGGACTTTCTCTCGGATGATATCGCTTCCGTAGCGTAAGGACGTGACTCTGCGCCCAACATATACAAAACCATCATAAAATATAGTGGTTTCTTTGGAGAACCACATAATTTTTTTTATATTCATAGAACCACCGTGAAATATACTAGTTTTTCGGAAACCACCACAAAAAAATTATTTTCACAGAACCACCATGAAAATATGAATCTTTTACAAAGTCCTACGAGTCATAATTTACATCAGTATTTTGTTAAATAATAATATAAAATGATATAAATGCCAATTATGACAAAATTTTAGAGAGGATGAGTGGGATATTTGGCAGGAATTAAAACTTTTTTGAGGGATTTAACAAAGTTTTAGAGGGAAATAGGTTTTTTTTTGTTGATAATGAGGCGATCAGGAATCGAGCCTAAGATAGTGGGAGCTGTAATGAAACCTCCCAACCATATGGTCATCAACAATGCTCAGGTATTTTTTGTTTGTTTGAAAAATTATAATAATAGATTGGTGGGTCCCACCATGAGGGTGTTTTAGGAATTTAACCATGAGGGTATTTTAGGAATTTAACATATTATATAGTTTAACATGATATAGATGCAAAATTATAATTTGATGACACTTTGTCATAGATGCATATTTTCATGGTAAATTTTTTTTAGTGGTTCTCCGAAAACCATTATATTTTATGGTGGTTCTATGAAAATAAAAAATATATATGGTAGTTTTCCGAAAAGCCACTATATTTTATGGTAGTTTTGTATAAAAAAAAACCCTAAAAAGATTAAGCTTAATGAACATTAGAAAACATGGTACTTTAGAGAACTTGTCTTCAAGATTAAGCCAGAAAGAAAAGGGCAAAAAACTGTTTAACTGGACCACTTACTCAGAGCTAGCACATCAACTTCTTGTCATTTTTATCATATTCTTTGAGAAAATTTCTATTTTTTCCTTTCACTCTTATAATAATAAAATGCATCAAGGTTTCCTTTTTCCCTTAAAAAACTCTTATTGAAATTATCCTTAGTTAATATGTGAAAATTGAAATTCAATTTTTCTTATTTTCTTCTAATAGGTGAGGGATTTTATTCCAATTTCATGAGAGTTTCTCTTATTGTTTGGTTTCTGATAATAGTAATTTGAATTTCTAATCTTTTTTTTGTCAATGAAATTTTTTTAATTCATTTCCCAAAATGAGCTTTTATGTACATCAAGAATACTCAGCAGATGAGCTGAGAAATCAAAACTGGGGAACTAAAAAAAGAAATAGAAGAGGAGGAAAGAAAACCAGACAAAAAACAAAGTTACAGGGATAGAATCCATTCCCTGTGCTCATCCGACAGCTGACTGTTGAGAATGATTGTCAGCATTTCAATTTTAATGTCTCTAATGATTTGGTTTGTACATCTGTTCTTTGACTGAAAGATATGAGTGTTTTGTTCTCGCCAAATGTAGTAAACCGATGCCGATAACGCCATACGTCTCACTTTCAGCTTGAATCTTTTACCCTTCAACCTGCTGTTAAACCAATTGAGGAGCAAATTCCAATCACAGGCTCTCCAATTAAATTGGAGCCAGTTCATGATCCCATTCCAGACTTCATTTGAGAACACACATTCAAAGAATAAATGATTTCGGGACTCCAGGCCAGCACCTTCACACAGAGCACAATGAACAAATTGAAGAATCCCTCTCTTAGAAAACCTATCTTTTGTAAGGAGCTTGTTTTGAATAGCCAGCCATAATATAAAAGATTGCCTAGGAGAATTAAGACTTTCCCAGACTGTTTCATACCAGAGCACTTTGTTGGCTGAAGGAGGAAGATTTGAATACAGCAAAGATAGCTGAATTTTAGAGTCTCTGCAGGAAGAGTTGAAACACTGCTTCAAGCAATTAATTCCTCCACAAAGAGTCACAGCTTTATCCCTAATCTTCAACAATTGTTTCCAAAGCCAAGAGTCACCAGTTTTAACACTTACTTGCCAGATATCACTGCTTTTTAGATAGGTTTCATGGATCCATTTGATCCATAACAGCTCCTTATCAGAGTGAATATGCCAGATTGTTCTGAGAGCTGAAGCCATGTTCCATTTTGCTGCTGAAAATATCCCTAATCCTCCATATTTTTTCCCCATGCACACTTTGTCCCAGGACACAAGAGGAGTTTTAGATTTTTGATCTGTTTTGCCCCATAAGAAATCCCTGCACAGAGCATCTATTTTTTGGAGAACCTTAACTGGAAGTATGTAACAAGAAGTCCAATAGATTTGAACACCTAAGATCACACTTGAATTTCTAATCTTAGCAGAAAGCTTTATTCAAGTTGTTGGACACGATCGAGCTGATATAATTACGTGTTGTTTCTGCTTCTAGTTCTCATTGTTTCTTCGTTATTTGCTTTATAATTTTTTTTCTTCATGTTTGATTAATTTGCTTATACATTAAGGAGATTCGTCACATTATGAAATATAGAAGATTTAGTGACGAAATATGTAAAAACGAAAGAAAAATAAATAAATAAAAAGAAAAATTAAGATGAAGAAAGAAAAAAGATTTGGACAAAGAAACACTTACACTTTATCCAAAATATATACACTACCAAAACTATATTGATTAAAGGCTTTGTACAAAAGTTTCATCTACAAGAGACCACACATATAAAGGATGATCTACAGATGCAACTTATGCAGTGTATGAATACAGATAATCGCTGCTATATATCAAACTTCTCATCTGCTTTATATTTTTGGACCTTTAAACTGTTCTTCGATCTATTTTTAAATTGATTTGGGAACCCAGCATCCATGTAATCCGTATGGAAGTCCATATGGAAATTTTGCCCTAGCAATCTCTTCAAAGCTAGAGCCATCAAGCACTAGAGCATAACCTTCTCCATTTTTGTCACTGATCATGGATATAACTACACCTGCAAATTATTGAATAATATTTGTTAATATATTTGAATTTTGCGTGAGCAAAAAAAAAAAAAAAAACACAAATGAGATTTAATCCAGAGTTGAGCTAGACTATTCCTTGACAATAAAGCTGTATTGAAAAATCTTTCTTAATAAATTAGCCGTAGACATTAAATGATTCTAGGTAATACACCCATCCATCAAGTTGACAATAATTTAACTTAAAGTTTAAAAAATCTAGAGGATAATTTTGTGACCACTCCATCGAGAGGATAAATCATATCTTATTTTTTTCAAAAGAAAAACAAGAACTATAAGTTGTGAGCTCACCATCGTCTTCTTCAGTGGCCCCTGGTCTAGCCACAAAGAAAGGCTCAGAAGGAATGGAGCCCTCATCATACCAATTCTTAGCTTTCTTCTCCACCAAATCAATCTGAACTCAATGGAGAATTCAATTATCTCACAGATGAACAAAAAAAATCTCATAATCATATTATAACACACCATTTAAAAATAATTAAAAAAAAGACTAACCTTAGTGAGTGTATTAGGGAAGTTACAAGGCCTTTGGGCGCCACAAGCATAAGCATATCTATACTTCTTTCCAAGATGGGCCGGATTAAAGCTACACATATCCATTCCCTTTCCGTGCTCATTGGGGTCCAAGGCCGCATACAACTCTCCTTTTGGGCTTCCATCCAATGGAATCCTAAAGCGCCCCACTCTACAATATCATAGCCCAAATAGAACTCCGATAAAGTTAGAAGCCCGTCATTATATAATCTCCTCGTATGCGTTGATGAAATGGAAGGTGACAAAATTTGGCACCTCCACACTAGCCACCTTAAATATAGAGAATAAAACTGGTTGATTATTATTTGGCCCATACATATGAACATGTATGGGATTTTGGATCAGATACATGTGATACCCAACTCTGAACTTGAGAAGGAATATCGTATTTCCGTTTGAACATAGAATAGATGAACTAACTAGGAATTTGTACTAAGGATACCACAACTTATTTTCGTTAGAGAAAAATACCATACATAGGCTATTAATATTGGAGAATAACACCATGGACTTTCAAAATATTAAAACAAAAACATATGTTGTTAATAAACTATCCTACTACATAAATAAAATTTCTAAAAGTTCAAAATTACCTCTTATACTTAATAAGGAGAAGAACGTGAAAAGAGAGAGTTTTTATCAAATAAATAAGGAGATAGATATAAAATACGTTACATGCATATCGACTAACTACGTCTTTTCGCGCTGTCAGTCTTTCCGAAAAAGGTTTATGATATTTTTATGCAAAACCCCTAATATTTCGTAAGTTAATTACAATAAAATTTACATGTTAGTTTCAGATTTTCTCAATGTTCGTGCCTAAGCGTGATATAGGTTCAATTTGATAAATATGCCATCAAATTATCAACATTCCGTATATACTATACGTACTGTTTGAGCAAATTAATTAAGCATATTAATTGCGAAAGAACTTACGACTTTGGTCGCGCAGTACCTTCAAGCACATCTCCTGCACCACCCACGTAGTTGTCCGTCACGGCGAACGAGTGGCACCCAACGGGCCTGGCCACCCGGCCAGTCCAACCCGGCCCACAAAACCTCCTCTCATTGCTCCCGGCCTCCATCCTCCACGTCGTACCCATTCCGTACTAAATCCGGCAACAGGGGTCAGGAAACTCCGTCTCCGTAAACGACCGCGATGCGCAGAATGCTATCAGCCCGTGGTAGCCGTCGGAAGTACTCAAATTTGCGACCGTGTCCAACGTTTCTGGGTCGACGCACGATCGAGGCCTTTGGTTCTGTTTCTTTGTGTATGTTCATATTTTGTGTGATTCTGCGGCGTCTTCTCTTATAGGAGGATTCGATCTCTTGGTGTTGGCGTTGTCGTGAGGAGAGTCCGGAGAAGAGGGAGGCGAGGTCGCCGATCGATAGGAGTATGTATATGGAGGAAGGTTGGGGACCTCTGTGTAGAATCTGCTTTTTTTTGTATCTATGACGGCGGTGTGGAGATCGTATTTGGTGTAGCGGTGGGTATGTGAGTGGCTGTGTGTGAGTATAGAGGAGGCGCGGAGAGATTTTTTTTTATATGTGAGCGGGCGGATGTTGTTCGCGTAGCCGTCAAGATGTGTGCGTGTAATTGTTGTATTGTCATGTGTTCACAGTCGGTCTGTCTAGGGTATTTTATGTGTCTGTCTGGTGTATCAAAATATGGGGCCGTTTCTTAGGTAAGTGCCGTTCTGTGTGGACAAAAAAGTGTTTAACGCGTATTACCAAAGTTTAAAAAATGTGCACCTAAATACTCTTAAGATTTTTAAAACGTGCACTTAGACATTCTGCGTTGTGCAAACTTGAGGGTGTTTAAGTACAAGTTTTATAGATGTCAGGGCATATTGTTTAAAAAATGATATGGTATCTAAGTGTAATTTTAAAAACTTTAGGATATATAGGTACCGTCAAAAACCAAGTGAGAGTATATAAGTTTAAAAACTCTATGGCATATAAGTACTGTGGAAAAACAAGTGAGGGTGTTTAGGGGCAATGTAGGAAAACTATAGAGAATTTAGAGCAAGTAAGCGCTTAATTAATAAGAAAACTTGGAGGCCTCCTAGAAGGGAGGAATGAAATTTAAGGGCTTCATTGTCAAAAGAAGAAAGTTAAGGGCTTATTAGAAGAGAGGTAAGTTAAGGGAAGTTAAGGGAAACTGAGTGAAGGGAAGGGAGTTCCCTTCCCCTTGGTTACACCCCAATTTGGGGGGTAACAATTTTTATACTATTAGAGGGTGAGCCAAGGGGAACTAGGGTGAATTAATTTCACCTCCTAAGTGTTCCCAAACAAGGTGAATGGAGGTGAATGGTTCCCCTAACTTCCCTTCGCCCTCATTCCCCTCAATCCAAACAAGAGCTTTCTTGTCAAAAAAATATTGAAGGCCAAAAAAGAAAATACTTTGTGGCTCCTTAGACTGTCCTATTGCAGAACTCGTATAATGTATAGGGCTTTTTGTTTTTAGGTCCATTTGTTTACTTAGCTTTATCTTTAAACCCAAGAATTATTAGTTGTATCTTTAAACCTAACTTTCTTTTTGTATTTATCTTTAAACCCAATTCCAAAATATAACACTCTCATATGTGGGTCCCCCTATATAAGGAAATTGAGTTTAAAGATAAATGCAAAAAGAAAGTTGGGTTTAAAGATACAACTAATAATACTTGGGTTTAAAGATAAAGCTAGGTAAACAAATGGACCTAAAAATAAAAAGCCCTAATGTATATCTATGTCTGAAATTTAGATTTTAATAAATTTAAGTCAACTATTAAGAAGTGATGTCGGATACGTCAACGTGTTTTAACCGTGTATGTTATTCTGTCAAAATAAAACGTTTGAGACATTTCGTTTGATTGAATAATTTTTTGACATTGGATACATGATTAGAAATATGTTAAAATCTTTGACGAATAGTTCGTATGTATTACATCACATCTAATATTACAAATCCTACTAGAGGTCGGAATTCAAAATCTATAGGATATATCATATATACGATATATCTACGAATTGGACGTGATGTTAAATTCCAGGAAACTATCAGGTGTCGTACAAAATGGTCATAAACCATTAGAAAATTATTCAAATCTTCTATACTATCAACAAAAGTAATAGAGGGACCAATAAAGAGAACAATACTTAATGATATAACTATTATTATCTAACGGGAATCTATCAGGTGTTGTACAAAATGGTCATAAATTAACTATTAGAAAATGATTCAAATCCTCTATACCATCAAAAAAGTAGTGCAAGGATCATACTTAATCATAACTATTTATTATCTAGCGAATGATTATTATTTGTTTATTTGAAGGCAAAATTAGAAATAAATGCAATACACGAGTTCCGGTGATTAGATTTTAAATGTATTACAATCACCCACTAGATCATCAATGTTTGAGATTAAAAATATTGTTCACGCTACTTTTTATTTTTGTAGGAGTGAAGATCCAAACTAATTAGAAAATTATAGAGTAGTTCTATTACTATAGATTGCCTTGAGTAAGTTCAAGCAGAATATGTCACACTTTTTGTTATCATCAAGGAAATTGTAATATTTATTGGTCATGTATCTCATATGAGCAATCCATTAATAAAAGGTCAGATAATTTGATCGATAGTGACATTGTCTGGCATGTATGTTGTTTACTTTCATAGGTTGAAAATGCTTGTGTTCAATTAACATTAATATACTGTTAAGCTAGCCCTTCGTTATCAATTGGCAACTGGTTAATTAAGTAAGGATTTAAGGAGACTTAGTCCTTTCTTAACCCGCCAAATACAAAAAATCTATACAATGGTTAAAGTGAGTTAATCCTCTATAGTTTGTCAAACGCAAAAAATATAGAAGGGTTAAGCTAATCCTTCTAGAGTGATTAAAATAAGTTAATCTCTCAAAATGAGGGGTTTACTAATACTTCTATTTAGAAGGATTAAGAGTTAACCCCTCTATTTATAAATAAAATAGTCAAAATCCCCGTTATTCCTAAACACTAATAATGATCACAATGGCTGAAGTAAAACTTATTTAACGGGTTAACAATTTAGTCTTTTGGATTATCAGATGAGCTAATTATGTTAATCATTCTCCTTAATCTTCCTCCCTTAACCCTTTACCAAACAGTGCCTTCTAGTTCTATGCCTAGGCGCCGAGCGAACATATATACCTTCCTACTTCCAAGAAACAAATTATCACAGAATGTCCAATAAAATTAAAACTACAACATAAGCATACAAGTAAATTAAAGAGACAGCCATCGAAGCTTCTTTAAAACGACAACCATACGGCAGAAACAGCTAATGCAATAAATAAATAATTAAATAAACAATGAACTGTGACCTATCTAAAT